CTCCTCCTCCTCCTCCTCCTCGCTCTCCGCCGACGGGCAGGAGCGAGGGAGCACGGGCGCGGGCCGAGCAGCGGCGACGGCGGCAGGAGCAGCCAGGAGCAGGACCCCGGGGCGGCGGCAGGAGGGACGGCAGCGGCGGCAGCAGAGGCGGAGCCAGGAGGCCCGCCCGCGTGCGCGTCATCGGCGGGCTATACGCAGGCGCGACCTTCGCCAGGGTGATCGTCGGTGCGGGCCCAAAGGGCTCCCCCCCCGATCGCGGAATGCGACGCTGGAGCAGCGGCTTGCGCGCATGGCGGCGTCCCCAGATGGCGCCCAATTGGGCCGCGCACCAAAGGTCACTCTTGCCTAGGGTCACCCTTGCGTCGCGGACGACGATCAATGGTGAGGAAGCATGTTGCCAGATAACGCCCAGCTGTCGAGACAATGGTTGAAACATGGCTAAAGCATGTGAACAAACATGTTTCAAACACGTGTAGGACATTTTCCGTAGCAAGTTTGGCTCAAGGATCTGGCTCGAGCCACTGACGCCTCAACAACGGCAGCCCTCTCGGGCCAGCACGCGGCCATGGCCCGCGCCTGCACCCTGCTCGTGTGGGCGACCTTGGCGGCCGGCGAGCCCCCCGCGCGCGGCTTGCGGCCGGAGGTCTTCCGCGCCGACGAGCTGAGCACGGCGGCCGCGGCGGACGCCTTCGATCTGGGCCGCTTCAGCGATTAGGGTGCCACATGCGAACCCTGCCCCTACCCCCCACGATCTTTTAGGGGGAGGGTGGGGTTCACTTCGCTCGTGAGCTCCCGAACGAAGCGAACCCCACCCTCCCCTCCAGAGATCGTGGGGGACAGGGGTAGGGCTCGCCTGTGGCCCCCTAGCGATGCCCTCGCGCGGCGCGGCGTCGTCGCCGTGCAGATGGGCGCAGGCTTCGGCGCCCTGCGCGCCGAGGTGCTGAGCGCAGCCGCCAGGTTCAAGTCGGGCCTGTCCCCCTACAGGGGGATTCCCGACGAAAGATAAACAATACCCCAAACATGCCCCAGAAAGGTCAAAACATATTACAAAAATAGTCCCCGGACTATTGTTGGACTATTTTCTTGTTATCTTGAGGGTCTTTTTGTTCATGTTTCGTCGAAAATCCCCCTGCAGGGGGGCAAGCCCGACGCAACGCCAGTTGCATGGACACCGAGCACGGCACGTCCTCCGTGCGCCTGGAGGAGGGCACCACGCGCCGCACCCTGGCCGGCGAGGCCAACGCCCGCGGCGACGGCAGGCCGAGCCCCTTCTTCGGTCCTCGCGGCGAGGCCACTCCCGAGGAGCGGGCCGGGCGAAAGGGGGGGATTGGGAAAGGGGGGTGACGAGATTTGCTGCGTGCAGCTGGCTTCGGCCTCACCAAGGGGCCCATTCCTCGATGCATTAGCCGCCTCCGGCGCCGGGCGGCGCCGGGAAAAAATCAGCGACGTGAGCCGATTCTCAAGCCCCCCCTTTGCTATCCCCCCCTTTCGCCCGACCCGAGAGGAGTGCGCCGAGTTCGAGCGGCTCGGCGCGGAGTTCCGTGCGCTTGCGGGGCAGGTGGCGGCCTCCTTCGGGCGGCGCCTGGCGCAGGTCGTCGGGCTCTCGGGCCAGCGCCCCGCGCTGGAGTTCGCCGCGGGCGACGAGGTGCAGCTCGCGGAGCTGGCCCAGAGGGGCCCCAGGCTCGAGCACTTCCACTCGTACGCCCGCGACCCGGACTTCGCGGCGATGGTGGGCCCGGAGGCGGAGCTGCGGCTGCTGCGGGCCCAGGCGCTGGATTTCCACGCCGACCAGGGGCTCTTCGTCGTCTTCTCGCCGGGGATGATGCTGCAGGCCGGGGCCGACGCTGCCGCGGGCAGCTTCCAGATCCGAAGCGCCGACGAGGACGGGCACGTGCGGGACTTCGACCTCGACGTGCGCGGCATGGACGACGTCCTGGTCGTGCTGCTGGGCGACGCCGTGCGGCAGCTGGGGCTGCCCGAGGCAGAGCGACTCTTCCACGTGCCCTCGCACGCCTTCCGCATGCCGGGCAGCTGGAGCGAGCCAGCCTCCGCCCTCCAGAGGCGCATGTGGTACGGCCTCATGCAGCTGCCCCCCCCCAACCTGCTCGCCCAGGGCGTGCTGGACCCGGCCACGGGCAAGAAGCTGACCTTCGGCGACATCCGCGCCCGCGTGAATCAGGAGGGGAGAAAAAGCGCACAGACGCAATGAATCGTCGATTCCCCAGAAATATGGGAAAATATGGGACGTAGGGGGGAAGACAAAAAACTCAGAAAATATGGGAAAGTATAGGGGAAGTCTGTTCTTTGTGTGTATTTATTTGTATGTCCCAGGGTCCCTTCAGTGACCTCCCAGGGCGGCTCTGGCGTCGGCTGCTCTGCGCTGGCCCAGTGGTCCGAGGGCCCCGGGCCGGACCGGCCGCTGGCGCCGCGCCTCCTGGAGGGCCAGTGCGGCAACGGCAGCCTCAGCTGCTGGCACTCAGGGGAGGAAACGGTACCTACACCTCTGCTCTTCGGCCGTTCTCCTTTTTTGGGGGCCTCCTCGCAGGATCTCGTCGCCACCGCTGGCTTCGCCTCAAAATCCTGGTCAGAACGCACCCCACGAGAGGTCCGGGGAGCAGCGGTATCGGTACCTTTTGGTTTCCCCAGGCACCGCTGCATGGAGATCTCGCTGGCCGGCGTCACCGAGGAGGACTGCTCGGCGCGCGGGGACGGCTATTCCATCCAGTGCGTCGACCAGTTCGACCAGATCTACGTGTCCGGCCACGGGGACTTCAATCCGACGTGCAGCAACGCCACCGAGACGGTCACGCCGAGGCCCCCCGTGGTGCAGCCCGCAAGCGGGGAGGCGCTCACCGACCAGGAGTGGCAGAGCCTGACGGAGCCCGGCTCGGGCGCCAACTCCGACTTCAGCCACAAGATCCAGCTCGACCAGCAGGCTGGCAATACGGTGCTGCTGTGGAGACTCGTGAACGACACCTCGGAGAGCGGTGCCGCCTTCCTCCTTCACGCGAAGATGATCCATCGTGGCACCGTGGGGTGGATGGCATTGGGCCTGGAGAACATCGGCGGGGACCACAACGGCATGAACGGCGGCAGCGTCGTCATGGCGCAGTACGACCCCGAGCAGGCTGAGCCCCTGTCCGTGGGTGAGTACAGGATTCACCCCACTCTGACCGCGTTCCGCCACTGGAAAACGCCGCTCGAGTCATCGGAGCCGGAGAACGCGTCGCTCGCATCATCAGACTTCTCGATCGAGAACGGAGCCTCTGTCCTGGAGTTCAGGACCAGCCACGTCTACAAGAGGGCGCTGAATCTGTCGGAACCGATTGACGACGATTCGACTAGCGACGTTCATGGCTTCCCCTCGCACCCGCACTCGGTAAACCGCCTCATCTGGGCGCTGACGCAGAACGCGTACTGCACCGCCGACTTCGGAGGGTATTGTGCGTATCACTCCAGCCCCGACAACAACTTCCTGCAACGTGAGGAGTTTCGAGGGCGAGTAGCGGTCGACCTCGCACGCGGCACGCTTGCAGAGGCCGTCACCACTTCCGCACCAGAGTTCACGGATGCGAGTTCGACACAGGCGCACGCCAGGGTTCAGTGGGCTGCCTTGTTGGTAGCGTCGATCATGTCCCCGTGGCTCCACTAGTGTGCCATCGCAGCGCCGATGGCCTTCGACCATCTTCAAATCTAGAGCTGATATTTCATCGTTGCCACAACATCGTACTGTTGCTGCAACATTTTTGAAGTTCAATCTCGGCACATACCCCTTGTGCCCTTGTGGCATCTCTTCATCTCCCCGTTTTCGTTTTTTTCTACACTGATCTGCTGCTGCTCCTTCTCCTTTCCCCCAGATTCTCTCTTCGCTTATCCAGTGGTCCTGGCAGCTGGCTTATCGATCTTACGTCGATTCGTTGCCTAGGTGCTTCGTTGGCGGCCTGGTGCCATCTCCCTGCCTTTCTTTTAGCGTAGCTGTTGTCTCCGACGTTGCAGCATGTGACGTCTGCGGTGCTCTCATGGTTCCCAGATGCTGCGAACAGGATAGGGCATAGGACCGTGCTTTGCCACGAGCCAGGCGGATTCGGTCCTCATCCTTCTTTGTGCAATCTTTGCTGTGGTCATAAAGGCGACGCCCGCAATCAGGTTCCCACCAGGCTCGTGGACCGTCCAAAGAGGGTCCTCAGCATGCGAGCCTTTCGGGTTGATTGCTCCGCCTCAGACCTTTTGGGTGAATTGATACGCCCCGACACTCACACGGTGCGTGTTTACTAGATGCGGGTCGGTTCATTTGAATCTTGGGCTTAGACACGAAGGGGCCTAGCCGACGTCGCAAGCATCACGCACAAAAAAAAACCGTGCAGGACATTTTCCTACATGTCAAACCCATCTTTAATTCAATGATCGGCTTGTCAGGGTGCCCATTGTCCATGGCATCCACAACTCCTGCGTGCAGTCGGAGGAGGGCCGGCGGCGTGCACGGCATCGGCGGGCCGACGGCGGCAAAAAAGGCGACGGCGGCGGCGCCGACGCGCCACGGCAGCGGCAGGCGGCCATGGTGTCGCACGAGTTCCTGGATCAGGCGGGCCGCGTCTTGCCGGGGAGGGTCCTGGCGCCCTGCCGTCCGACGGAGCTCTCGCCGGCCGCGCGCCCGAAGGGGGGCGGCTGGATGGGGGGCCTCTCAGAAGCACCCCTGCTTTTGGAGAGGGCGCGGGCCTGGTCTATGGATGTGGGGCCCGCGCCTTCTGAGAAGCAGCCTCGGAGGAGGGGGAGGACAAGGAGGAGGAGGAGGCGGAGGGGAATTGGACAAGCTATGTGCGCTCGCGTTATATCTGACGTCCTACCCCTCCCTCCCATCCCTTGCCATGGCGCTGATTTTCTCTATCCGCGGACGCGTGTCGTAGCGGACCTGTGGCTCCGCGCGCGCGTGCGTAGTGGGTGGTGGTGCGCGTGCGTGCGTGCGTGCGTGTGTGCGTGGTTGTGGTCGTGGTGGTGGTGGTGGTGGTGGTGGTGGTGGTGGTGGTGTGGTGTGTGTGTGTGTGTGTGCGTGTGTGCGCGTGTGCTGTGGTGTGACGTGGTGTGGCGTCTTGGTGGTTTGGTGGTGGGCCAGGTGCGTGCGTGCGTGATGGCGGTGGTGGTGGTGGCGGTGGTGGTGGTGTGTGTGTGTGTGTGCGTGTGTGTGTGTGCGTGTGTGCGTGCGTGCGTGCGTGCGTGCGTGCGTGCGTGTGTGTCTGTGTGCGCGCGCGTGTGATGTGGTGTGACGCGGTGTAGCGTGGTGGTGGTGGGTGGGGTAGTGGGGTGGTGGTGGCGGTGCGCGTGGTGGTGCGCGTGCGTGCGTGCGTGCGTTGGTGGGTGGAAGTGGCGGTGGGCGGGGCGGGGCGCGGTGCGGTGGTGGCGGGCGGATGGGCGCGCGAGAAAGAGGCCCGCGCTGGGGCGAGAACGCCATCCTGAACGACGGAGGCAAAACACCGATCCGAAGCGGGAGCACGATTCGGAACGAGCGGAAGCCCGAAAATGAGGCCAGCGCCTCAGCGAGAGCAGCATTTTGAAAACAAACCAAGCGAACACCCAATTCCGGGAAATCCTGTGCGTTAAAAAACAGTGCGCGGAGGGGTGCCCGCTATCTTCCGCACGCCATCAGGGGATAGAGGATAGTGTATTCATATTGAGTAATTGTGGAGGAGGAGGAGGAGGAGGAGGAGGAGGAGGAGGAGGAGAGGGAAGAGGAGGAGGAGGAGGAGGAGGAGGAGGAGGAGGAGGAGGAGGAGGAGGAGGATGAGAGGGAAGAGGGGGGGAGGCCCTCATGTGCGCGCCGCCAGCTTCAGCGGAGGCACCGCGAGGGGGATTTGGGGGAATGCGACGACGGGAGGAGAGGGCCCAACCTCCTTTCATCGGTTCCGTTTCCCCTTCCTCCTCCTCCTCCTCCTCCGTAGCCATTTTGGCTCAAGATGTTTCCGCCCCGTGGCAGAGCACGGAGACCCTTGGTCCAGGGACGGCTCAGGACCCGCATTCGTAACCACGCCCTCCACCGTCTCAGGTGGTCAAGCTTCATATTCGGCACAGTTGTCGCCAGCTGCTGCCTCCACGCGCGATCGACCGAGGCTGGCGCGGGCCTCATCTTTCGGACGCAGATAGCATGGGAGGCAAAGGCGTACCAGCTCCTGCTGCCACCGACGCTGTTCTCGGAGAAGCAGAAGGCAAGCGCCAACAAGACCCATGGCATGAAGGCGCTGCACTACTCGGGAACAAGCTCGCCGTGCACGACCTGCCCGCACACGTCCGCAAGCAGTTGGAAGAGACAATGGCCGATCAGATCGCCGACGCCAGCGCCATGTTCGAGGCCACCGCCCGAGCCGTCACAGCCAAAGCTAGTCAAGACTTCCTCGACAGCCTCACGAAGATCACGTCCGACCTCAGCCAGCGCCACGAAGCCACTGAACGCAACATCACCGAGGTCAGGCAGCGCACCACCACCCTGGAGAAAGAGAACATCGACCTCAAAGCTGCCGTCGCCAGGCTCGACGCCATCGTCACAGCAGCAGAAGCCCGAGCACCCGCCCTCGACCTTGACGGCCTTGGCGCGTGGGACCGCCAGCCCGACCCAACGACTTTCTGGCGCAGCAGCCCGCAGGAGTTCAACCAGCCCGAACTCGAGAAGAGCCTCGCCGACTGGTTCACCGCCGCAGGCATCGACAAGAGCCAGGTCATCTTCAACACCATCGGCCCCGCCAAGCGCCACTCATTCCAGGTCAGTGGAGGAACTGCCGCGGCAGAACCACGCGCTCAACGGCTCCACGGTGCTCTCCGCAACGGAAAGGAATGGCGCACTTTCAGTATACTTCGGAGCAGTGGTCTTCTTGCTCCTCTCTATGTCACCGCCGACAAAAGTCCGAAAGCCGTCCGCACAGAAGTGCAAATCAAGCGACTCTCAAAGATCATGCAGCATGCCGTGCCCGACGTTGACATTCGCATTCATCGGACTCTTGGCTACATTAGCAATCATGGTGAAGCTTTGGCCAGCCTGCACGTCGGAGCTCACGCTGACGCCCCCGCCCGCATCCAGCGGTCCAGCGCCGCCATCGCCGGCGGCTTCGACGAAGCAAGCAGCGGCAGATCAACGCAGAGTTCGCCTCCAACTTCACCGACGCCCTCACCTCCGCGCAGTGGCTTCAGCCATCGCTGGAGCCCATGGCTCCTCAAGCCCTCGCAGGAGGGCCTCAGCGTGGCGTCCTGGAACACTCAAGCCCTCCTCGGACAATCAGACCAACGTCGGGAAGACAAACGCCGCATGTTCCTGCCATATTTTCGGCAAAGAGCACTAGTCGCTGTCCAAGAAACGCACGGCACGATCGACGACCTTTCCCTCCTGGCCAACTCGACCCAGCACCCGTGCAAGCCGTTCCACTCCCCCGTGATGGCCGACTATTCCCCCGTCACCAACGCAGGCGGCGTGGGCTTCTTCGTTCCGCACGACAAAGGCGAGCAAATGCTCCCCCCTGGATTACGTCATCGCATCAGGTTTGAGGTCGTCATCCATGGCCGTGCCGCCTGGCTTCGGGTTACGGATGCCAGCCTCCAGTTCGAAGTCACCGTCCTCAACGTCCACAACTACGGCTTCGCCGCTGCAGATCGACTCCATCTTCGGGACCAGTGGCAAGCTCTCCGACAGCATGCTGACGAGCAACCACAGCATCGCCTTTTCATGGTCGTGGGCGACGTCAACGTTGCTGGATTCCCGCCGAAGTCGCTGAACGCCCCTGTCGACTCCGACACCACCGCCGCACAGCGGTACCAATACCAACCTGTAGTTTGGCGATCGCTGTTCCGCGACGCGATCGAGATCTCATCATCCTCAACTACCCACAGAGCTGAAGGGAACATGAGCAAATCCACCATCGACCGATGCTTCGTCAACCTCCCCAGTCATCTCATGCCCCTCATGGAGACCATCTACGTAGCTGACGACTCCCCGCTCGAGAACCCCCGTGGCCCGATAAGCGACCGCGAGATCATGCGCCTCCGCATCCGCCTCCGCAAGCCCAAGATCGCCACGGAGCGAGGCATCCCCGCGTACATCTTCGACACCATCCACTACAAACACCACGTCACCAAGACTCTCGCCAACATAGACATGACTAACATGACCCCGATTGCGAGATGGCGCGCGCTCAAGGCCGCGACGCAGGTCGCAGCCGCCCACGCCCGCGACGCGCTGACCAAGCTCCCAGTAGATGAGTTGACATCGCAGCCTGGGCCCCTGTCCAAGGAGACCCGCGCCATGCCGCTCCGCAGCGTCGCACGAGCTGTTTGGCACCAGGGCGCCCCGCTCGCGAACTCGCTTATCGAGCACACCGACATCGGACGCCTCCATTAGAAGGTCATCGGAAACACTGTCCGCGTTGACGACATGCCGACGTTCACCAGGGCCGCCGACACCACGCACGCCAACCTCAGCAACGAACGCAAGGCTATTGCATCGGCCCGGTCGCGAGCCGCCTTCGCGGCCAACAACGCCCCACTCGGCCAGAAGCGGCGCCCGCGCGCCAAAAGAGAGGGCTATCGAGGCGAACTCTGGAAGCCCTTCGCCAAGCGCCTCGCGATCACGGGCATTAAGATCATCGCCGACAACTCGACGAACATCGTCACCGATCCCGCCACCATGCACCAAACCATCATGCGGCACTGGGCCCCCGTGTTCGCCGAGGAGCACGTTTACGAAACTCTGCTCACAAATTGCCGCGACTCGGTTTTCCCACGACGCCCGCGAGCTGATCTTCCCCTCCCTGACGCACAGGATCTCAAGAAGGCCGTCCGCCTCGCAGGTGGCCCAGCTCCTGGCCCAGACGGTTTACCCTACCGTGCTTGGCTTCGCACCCCCGACAGCTTCGGCATCCTGGCCGACGTCGGCCACGACGTCGCCGCCAACAATAACATCCCGCACGACCTCAACTTTTTTCTCATGGCCATGTTGCCAAAAGGTGACGAACCCACGGGCAGCGCAGAGTGCACGCGTTCCCCAGATTGCCAATGACCGCTCTCAATGAAGAACTCCGACGTGAAGCTGCTAGAGTCTGCCGCCAATCGCCAGCTTCATCCCCTCGCCGCCCAGACGTCGCACGAGCAGCAGGGCTTCGTCTCCGGCCGCCAGTTCCTGAACAACGCAGTCACCGTGGATGCAGCCGCGCGCAGGCGCAGCCTCTCTCCCACAGCATCAACTGACATGCCCGTCTTTGTCAGCATGGACATCGCAGCCGCGTTCCCCGGCCTCGGCCACCAGTGGATGTGGAGCGTCATCGAGCGCTGGGGTATCCACGGCCACATGCTGCGCCTGCTCAAGGCGTGTTACTTCTGGCCCGTCTCGTTTCTCGAACTGGGAGGCGAACGACGCCCTCTGCTGATCGCAGCATCGGGCGTCGCCCAAGGCTGCCCGCTGAGCGACGCCATCTGGGCGCTCGTCTTCGACCCCATCATCATCGCCCTCAGCCGCGAGCTCCGCGAGATCCAGC